TCATTGATTGTCGGCGTGTGTGTGTGTGTGTGTGTGTGTGTGTGTGAGTGAGTGGGAAGCAGGCGGTCTGATTCCTGTGCTCATGGGCATCATTTCCATGGTCACTGCTGTATCGCTGTACCAATCCCCTTCCCTTCAGCCAGTCCTGACAGGGAGGATGAATTATAATGGTTGGCTGTGTTGGGGGAGGGACGCTGCATGTTTGTATGTGCATGTGCATGTGCATTTTAGGACTCCATGGTCTGTGTGGAGATCAGGTGGGGGAGGGGCAGTGTGTGTGTGAGGTGTACCAGTTTAGTCTGTGCTCATGCCAGCTTCTGTAGACCTGTCTGTAATACATATGGAAAAGTGTTCTCTAAAAACATCTTTTGCACAAGAGCATTTGTAGAACAAACAATGAAAAACAGAAATAGAGATATAAATAGGTTTTTACATTTTCTACAGAACATTTGAGTGGTTGTTGACCTTTCCCGTGCAAAAGTTGTGGTCGTTGTGTTATGGTGTTTGCAGGTCATTGCTATGTAGTTGGTAAGATGTTTCGAGTATTTTTTAGCATGTTGCTATGCGATTGCTAGGACATTCTGATTGGTTGCTATGTAGGAGTTACATGTCAATCTTAATAATTAAGATCAAATCCCTAATATTTTGAGCACTACCCTTGTGAAAAAGAAGTACACTTTAGCACACTTAGAGTACTTGTTATGGAAACAATATACTTAAAAAAAATAAATAAATACTTAAAGGCATAGTTCACCCAAAAATGAAAATTTTGTCATTGATTACTCACCCTCGTGTCGTTCCAAACCAGTAAGACCTTCGTTCATCTTTGGAACTCAAATTAAGATATTTTTGATGAAATCCGAAAGCTGTCTGACCCTGCATAGACAGCAACACAACTGAAATGTTTTATGGCCCAGAAACGTAGTAAGGACATCGTTAAAATAGTTCATGTGACATCAGTGGTTCAACTCTATTTTATGAAGCTACGAGAATACTTTTTGTGTGCAAAGAAAACAAAAATAATGACTTTATTCAACAGTTTCTTCTCTTCCGTGTCAGTCTCCGCCGCATGTTCACGAGAGTACCATGACGCATGCGTGAGATGCTGCTGATGATGCAGGAGCCGGAGTTCTGACGTAGAACGTCTATCTGTCTTAGTTCATCGTCTGTATATTCTGGTTCAAATAAGTAAGGCTGGGCAAAAAATTGCAATTCATCCTCTCTTTCGAAATCTTCAGACATGTTAACAAAGACATGTGAACATCAGACACGCTGTACATGTTTTATGTACAGCGTCTGTTTTCTTCTGCTTGTAAACAAAGCGCAGTACCTTTCCCGTGCAAAAGTTGTGGCCGTTGTGTTAGGGTGTTTGCAGGTCATTGCTATGTGGTTGGTAAGATGTTTCGAGTATTTTTTAGCATGTTGCTATGCGATTGCTAGGACATTCTGATTGGTTGCTATGTAGGAGTTACATGTCAATCTTAATAATTAAGATCAAATCCCTAATATTTTGAGCACTACCCTTGTGAAAAAGAAGTACACTTTAGCACACTTAGAGTACTTGTTATGGAAACAATATACTTAAAAAAAATAAATAAATACTTAAAGGCATAGTTCACCCAAAAATGAAAATTTTGTCATTGATTACTCACCCTCGTGTCGTTCCAAACCAGTAAGACCTTCGTTCATCTTTGGAACTCAAATTAAGATATTTTTGATGAAATCCGAAAGCTGTCTGACCCTGCATAGACAGCAACACAACTGAAATGTTTTATGGCCCAGAAACGTAGTAAGGACATCGTTAAAATAGTTCATGTGACATCAGTGGTTCAACTCTATTTTATGAAGCTACGAGAATACTTTTTGTGTGCAAAGAAAACAAAAATAATGACTTTATTCAACAGTTTCTTCTCTTCCGTGTCAGTCTCCGCCGCATGTTCACGAGAGTACCATGACGCATGCGTGAGATGCTGCTGATGATGCAGGAGCCGGAGTTCTGACGTAGAACGTCTATCTGTCTTAGTTCATCGTCTGTATATTCTGGTTCAAATAAGTAAGGCTGGGCAAAAAATTGCAATTCATCCTCTCTTTCGAAATCTTCAGACATGTTAACAAAGACATGTGAACATCAGACACGCTGTACATGTTTTATGTACAGCGTCTGTTTTCTTCTGCTTGTAAACAAAGCGCAGTGCATATGGGTTCTACGTCAGAACTCCGGCTCCTGCATCATCAGCAGCATCTCATGCATGTGTCGTGGTACTCTCGTGAACACACGGTGGAGACTGACACGGAAGAAAAGAAACTGTTGAATAAAGTCGTTATTTTTGTTTTCTTTGCACACAAAAACGTATTCTCGTAGCTTCATAAAATTACGGCTGAAGCACTGATGTCACATGGACTATTTTAATGATGTCCCTACTACCTTTCTGGGACTTGAACGTGGTAGTTCTGTTGCAGTCTGTGGAGGTTCAGAAAACTCTCGGATTTCATCAAAAATATATTAATTTGTGTTACGAAGATGAACGAAGGTCTTACTGGATCGGAACGACACGAGGGTGAGTAATTAATGACAGATTTTTCATTTTTGGGTGAACTATCCCTTTAAGTATGGAGATGTGAAACATTGTTTATGATAAATTAAAATATGTTAATAACATTTCTTTTGAAACTTGTATGTCAAGTATATAAATATTTTTGTAATTACACATTTGTAATGAGGAATTTAGTACATTTAAAATATATTAACTTTAAACGTAATATTGAATTGTTACTTAAAATGTTACTTAAAATGAAATGTGCTTTAGTATGTAGTAGTACACATTAAAGTAAGTGTACTTTAAAGCACGACAAAAGATTATTAAAACAATGATTTAAGATGTACTTTAAAATGTACTTTTAATTTGACTTTATTGCAAAGTGCACTTTTTAAAAGTGTACTTAAGTGTGTACTTACGTTTTTACTCTCTTTGTAAGTATACTAAAGTGGTATTTAATTTAATTAATATTATATTACCAGCAAGTACAGTTCTTTAAAAATATACTTCTAAGAGCTGAAGTACACCACAAGTGCACATTTGATACAATTAAGCATACTTAGTTTCACAAGGGTAGTAATAGTGAACGTAGCTAATAGTGTCAATAACAGACCTAAAGGCCTTTAAAACTCTGCACTGTTCTAACTTTTTTTTATCTAAATGTGGAGGCACAGATGAGTGCCTGAGGAACAAATGGGCTTCAGCAGTATTATAATCTGTGTGTGTCTGTGATGGAGCATCTGCTTTCATCGTTAGATCAGCTTTCTCTGTCCTGAGCTGATCTGAAGTGACGCAGGTGCAGTTTTCTTTTAGGTAGGCTGGAGTCCAGACGTGGCCAACTGTACTCGTGTGAATCTGAATCCGAAATCAATCAGTTGTACTCTCATTATCGCTGTGCATTGTGGGATTGAACGAGTGCACTCGATAAAGTCCACTAAGGTTTCGGACACCACTAAATATGGCTGTCCCCTCAAATAGTACCCTATTTAAGGGCATAGGGCAATTTTGGAAACAGGGACAGTCCTCAGCACTCCTGTGATCACTGTGAGCTGATAATCATTAGTTAATCTATCCAATTTAGCCAGCGTATTTTTACAGATGTGCTTTTATTGTTAAAAGAAAAGATGGAGGATGTTGGTGTGAAATCTTTAGTTAAAGGCGTATGTTTTCTATAGTAAAAAATAAATAAAAAATACAACACGCTTGTGAAAACGAGGTGCACTTAATTGTATTTAATGTGCACTTGTAGTATATTTTTAGAAAACTGTACTTGCAGAAAATAATATAATATTAATAAAATGAAAGGCCACTTAAGTGTCTTAACACACTTAAGTACACTTTTAAAAAGTGCCGTTTTTAATAATGTCAAATTCCAAGTTTTACTTTAAAGTACATTTTAAATCTTTGTTTTAAAAATCTTCTGTCATTCTTTCATTTTTTTTGTCGACTAACTTACTAAAGCACATGTAAAGATTGTACTTGATTAGAATTGTAACTATAGGGTGTTTTTTGATATTATAGTTAATATATTTTAAATGTACTAAATTGTAACTTCATCATTACAAATGTGTAATTACAAATGTTTAAATACATGATATGCAAGTTTCAATAAAGATGACATTAAAGTATATTTATTTTTACTATAAAGTACACTTTAACCTTACTTCAAAGATAATAGATGTAATTATGAAATTACATATAAAAATGTACTATTTATGTAAAAAGTTCAACTAATTGCATTTTAATATACATTTAAACTATAATACGTTTTCATTTAATTATATATAACATGCAAATAAGTGTCTGAATACATATTCAGCTCGCACTTAAATATATAATTATAATTATAATTTATGCATTTAGCAGACGCTTTTATCCAAAGCGACTTACAGTGCATTCAGGCTATACATTTTTTACCAGTATGTCAAATATATACTTTTAAAGTATTTCCATAATAAGCACTCTTTTAAAAAGTATTCTAAAGTGCACTTTTTTATCTTTTTTTATTTAACAAGGGCAGCAGTATTTAAGAATCCTATCTGGAAGCTTTCATTACTTTTGCAGTTCCATTTTGTGCCACTAGTGGAACAGAAGCGTCAGTTTTCACCTCTGAATACTGATGGTTTTCTCTGTCTGTTATCTGTTTTCTCAGGAGGGCCAGCGGTTAATGCAGGAGAAGCCAGAGATGAGCGCGCTGGTGAAGAAGAAGATGGAGGAGATCCGTGAGTGCTGGCAGGATCTGGAGAGCACCACCCAAGCCAAAGCCCGGCAGCTGTTCGAGGCCAACCGGGCCGACCTGCTGGTACAGAGCTACTCCAACCTGGACCAGCGACTCGAGCAGCTTGAAGGACAGCTGGCATATGTGGACTACGGCCAGGACCTGACCACTGTCAACAAGCAGCTGAAGAAACTACAGGTCTTTTTTACTCTTATTTCACAGACACACGTATCAGCAGCTTTCACTTCTCTCGCAAGTCTCACAAGCTTAGAAACTCTTTGTGCATCAAGATGATGTTTCCTCCAGATTTATTTTTGATCTGTCAGATTGCTGGTTTCCAATGTACCTTTAATTTGCTCTTTATTTCTTTCCGATTCCTGTGCTGAAGACTTTTCTTTTCTTTTCCACTGCTGCATTTGCTGGTAATATGAGCCTCATCACGGTCCACCGTATGAGTGTGATTCATGTCGCTGGTGTGGCTCTCCTCTCTGACAGCATGCCATGGCTCTCAGCTGATCTGAGTTCAGTTTCAGCTCTGTCCCCACATCACTCCATCCTCATCACCATCAGCGGTATTGTAGCATCTTCATTTCGCTTTCTTGATTTGCACACACCCTCTCTCTTTCTTTCAGTTTGCTTTTATGTAGGGATGCACCGATACCACTTTTTCCAGTACTCGCCCGATACCGATACTTTTATTTTTGGTACTTGCCGATACCGACTTCACCAGAATATATTTCATATGTGCATCATAGGTTGCGGTCAGTGCAGGCTGACCAGTCCTATGAAGCATCTGTGTGTGTGTGTGTAAGGGAGTGTGTGGTTTTTATTGTGTTATATTTCCTGTCCATTTATACATCAGCATATTTCAAACCTTTTGCCTTCAGTAGCATTTACTGTAATTAAACATTTAAGCTCTCTAAAATATTCAAATATGTTAGCTCTCTGTCTCTCCATTTAGGAATGCCGGTCAAAAGTAAACATTTCTAGTGTTAATTCTAATTCTAGATTCTTTTTAAGGTTCCGTTGCATTTTTTGTAATACTCCTTTAGTTTGATATTAACGGTGTTTAAGTCAATGAATTGCTGCTTCTCATTTCAGAATGAAAATAACAATGGTGTGTCTGTAATAATAGGTCACAGGTTTGAATCCCATTACTGTAATTACTGTAGCCCTGAATATATTGTGTTGGATTGGTCAATTACTCTGGTACACTTCACTGTCTTAATTTATGTAACATCTGAGCCGAATGGGTTACGGCATGTGGATCTTTCTTTACACTACCGTTCAAAAGTTTGAGTTTGGTAAGATTTTTAAATGTTTTTGAAAGAAGGCTGCATTTATTTAATGAAAAATGCAGTAAAAACAGTAATATTGTGAAATTTTATTACAGTTTAAAATAGCTGTTTTCTGTTTTGATCATTTTAAATGTTTTTTTTTTTCCTGTGATGCGAAGCTGAATTTTCAGCATCATTACTCCAGTCTTCAGTGTCACATGATCCTTCAGAAATCATTCTGATATGCTGATTTGCTGCTCAAGAAACATTTATTATCATTATTAATGTTGAAGTTGAGTTGTGCTATTTAATATTTTTGAAACTGTGATTTTTTTTCAGGATTATTTGATGAATAGAACATTCAATAGGACAGCATTTATTTGAAAAAGATATCTTTTATTAGTTATAAACGTCCTTTCTGTCACTTTTGATAAATGTAATGCATCCTTGCTGAATAAAAGTATTAATTTCTTTCTAAACATCTTACAGACCCTAAAATTTTGAATGGTAGTATATGTCCTGATACCTACTGTAATTTGACTGTAATTTGGAATTTTCATGGACTTAAGCTTTTTACAAGCACATTTTAATATTAATGAGCTAATGAGTTTTCTTTGGAAGTTTGAAAAGTTTATGATGATGTCATAACTCACTTCCTGTCTCCTTTGGTCTTTCTGGTGTTCTTCCTCTCCTCTTTCTGTCATCATTTTTAACTGTGCTCCACTGTGCTGAACTGTGTATTTCTCCATCCCTCTCTCTTTGACGTCCACTTCGTTCTCCTGTGCATCTTTCCTGTTATACATTTCAACCGATCTCTTCATTGATGTTCTTTTGCTCATTCATCATGTTCACTCCACTTCCACCTCTAACAGACGATGGAGTGTCAGATGGAGGAGTGGTATATAGAGGTTGGAGAGCTGCAGGCCCATGCGGCCTCCATCCCTCAGCAGGGGCAGGTGGAAAAGGTCTCCGAGAAACAAGCCGGTGTGGAAACGCGAATTGTACGACTGATTGAGCCTCTGAAAGAGAGACGTCGTATCCTGCTGGCCTCTAAAGAAGTGCACCAAGTGGGCCGTGATCTTGAGGATGAAATTGTGAGTTTAACAACCTCATTATAACCATTACCTTTAATATATTTTGAAATGTGCCACATGTTGTGAATGTGTTTGTCCGCAGTTGTGGATACAAGAGCATCTTCCAGTGGCCACTTCTCAGGAATATGGGACAAGTTTGCAAGCTGTACAGCAACTCATGAAGAAGAATCAAGTAAGACAGCGTCAAAAAAACTCTATATCCTGTGGAGAACAGTTTAGACCAGCATAAATGTGAAAGGGATAGTTCACCCAAAAATGTTGTCATCATTTACTCACCCTCATGTCTTTCCAAACCTGTATGAGTTTCTTTCTTATGTTGAACATAGAAGATATTTTGAAGAATGCTGGTAATCAAAAAGTTGATGGTCCCCATTGACTTCCATAGTATTTCTTTCCCTACTATGGAAGTCAATGGGGACCAACAACAGTTTGGTTCTTCAAAATATCTTCTTTTGTGTTCAACATAAGAAAGAAACTTATCCAGGTTTGGAATGACATGACGGTAAGTACATGATGACAACATTTTCATTTTTGGGTGAACTATTCCTTTAATGCCGATTTAGGCTGGTCTGGTGCTGGTCTAGTTGGTTGATTAAGGCTAGAATATACTACAAGATTTTAGCCCTGATTTTCAGTCTGGACACACTGATGCTAGTTGCGGACAATCAGAGCCAGTCAGCAGATTTTGGACCGTCGGAATTGGCAGATTTCACAGAAGATCGCATAGTGTATGATGTGCACAGACAATTTTAGAACACATTGTTTTCATTTGTCATGCGTCTTCAAGCAATGAAGTGCACGTTTCTGTTTGAGTTTACTGTGTTCATAGCAACTTGAAAGTCTGGTAGTGTGTGATGCTTGGTCGTTTACAGCAGGGGTTGTCAAAGTGGGGTTATAATTTAAGGTCTGTATGATTTCCGCAATGTGGAAAACATGGACGGAATTGCAGAATCCAGTCATAAAAATGGAATTTACTGTAAAACACTTAAAGTCACGGAATCGTTGTAATTGTGGTGTGGACTTCCCTCTTCTCAAAGAATTACAATGATTTATCGTTCTTAGTGTGAACAGGCTTTTAGGCTACTTGAAATGCTCTATCCCAGTGGTTCCCAACCCTGGTCCTGGAGGCACCCCAACACTGCACGTTTTGCATGTATCCTTAATCAAACACACCTGATTCAGGTCATCGGCTCATTAGTAGAGACTCCAAGACCTGAAATTGGTGTGTCAGAGAAAGGAGATATGCAAAATGTGCAGTGTTGGGGTGCCTCCAGGACCAGGGTTGGGAACAATCCCACATTATTCTTGTGCTCAACAGAAACATATAGAGATATGGATATCGCTGACTGTGTTTCTCATGGTCATCTCCTCTCAGAGTCTGCAGAGGGAGCTTCAAGGTCATCGTGGACGTGTGGAGGATGTTCTGGAGAGAGCAGGTGTGATTGCGTCCATCCGCAGTCCAGAAGCAGACAGCATCAGGGCTGGCATGGAGCAGCTCCATCAGCTGTGGGAGGCGCTGTGGACCGAGACTGAGCACCGGCAGCTCCGGCTGGATGTCATGTACCAGGCGCAGCAGTACTACTTTGATGCAGGAGAGGTGGAGACCTGGCTCAGCGAGCAGGAACTGCACATGATGAATGAGGAGACGGGAAAGGTAGGAGAGGAAAACAGAGAGGCCATGTGGGGATGGGAAACACCAAATAGCCATTCGGGGGTGCTGTTTCTATAGGTCTTAGATAAAATATTATTTAAATTAAATAGTATCAAATAAAGTAATTAATAATTCTAATAAACAAAACATTAGCTTTCTGGCTTGTGTATACAGTATATATATGTGTGTGTATATATTATTTGACCCTCTAACTCTAGCACTCTCTATTCTAATTCTATTCTTTAAAAAAACCTCAATTTTGCACTCTATTCATTTACTAACTGCTAGTTTTCTTTAAAAAAAAAACTAGCTTCTCTAATCTTTTTGCATTTTTTGTATTCTATTTGTTTTCTTTTTATTTATTATACAATTAACAAAAGCAAAAAAGGCCTCTAACACTAGCTTGCTCTATTCTTTTTCTATTCTATCTGTTTTCTTTTTATTTATTATATAATTTAACGTGTACTGCGTTAAGCTAACTGAGACTTGTTATAGCACTTGCATATCATTGCTCTCTTGTTGGTTTTGATTGCTTCCATTGTCCTCATTTGTAAGATGCTTTGGATAAAAGCGTCTGCTAAATGACTAAATGTAAATGTAA